TTTTCTTTCGATGAAAGAACCTACTTTAAAGCTGAGACCTGCAGATGGCTGCTCCTCGTAGATCTCTCCAAGCTTGAAAGTAGTGGTAAAGGTCTTGTCCTGGCTGAGGGTGACCACGACGACCCACTGATCGCCGTTCTGCTGGATTTCCACAATCGGCATGGTCTGCAGGAATATGTTGACGAGTTCGCCCTTGCCAAGATTCTTAATGTAATCCTCGAAGTTTTCGCTCGACACGTATTGGTACTTGCCAACTATCTGCACCATGATGACCGTGATGATAGCTTGTCGCGCGCACAAGTCAGGATCTCAATCGCTGCCGAAGAAAGACAAACGGCGTGCCGGGTTGCATCAGCTTTTATAACGACATCCGGCAGAGGGGAGGGGGGGGAGGATTTCGTTAAGGGATCTCGCCGGTCCCGCGATAGAGAGAAAGAGTGAGAGGGAGGGAATCACCGGTCAATCTACGATGATTCCAGACAAAGTATTCGTATTATCGTCGACGGGTTGATAGAGATCGGCCTGTCCTGTCGTTCCATCATCGTTGTTGATGTACCCTTCGTACATGATGGTGAATGTACACGAGGGACGGAAGAGAGCTGCATTTATTTGCATCTGTATGTGCAATATGTACTGGTCTGCTCGCGACTTACATCCTGCGCTGTGACTCAGTGAATTTTAATGTCTTTCTTCATGTCTTAGAAACATACTGGCACAGAATCAATTTTGTTGTTTATCTTGCATCAAACTTTTTATATATGCTTTATTTTTAAACTCTAATAATTTATATGATCACTGATCAACTCTTTACTAAAGAAATTATTATATTATTTTTATAAAAATATGAGGACGTACACCATATATCTTTCGTTTTAGTTAAAAAAAAATATTTAAAAAAAAGAAATACGATTGCCATTCAATCGTATCATCTTTGTTTCGTTGATATTACTGCCTAGAACGTGTATTGAATTGATAAAGTAATCGCTAAAAATACACTCACTCAAATTCCAAGAAGTCTAAATATCACGTATGAGAGTGTAAAGTAAATTGATACTAGATATGAAGTGTAAGGTGTTTACATTGTAAAAAGAAAATATAGATTTTGTTGCCGACAGAAGTAATCAGTATTTGCGATCGTTATTATTATTTGTAAAATGTTTTCATTGAATTAGAAGAATAGAGCAGTTGTAATTTACTTGGACTGCGTTCTGATAATTATTACCACCGCTGAAAATCTGTAATATATATTATGCCATTGAAAAAAATGACGTAGTAACAGTATTATTTTAATTAAAAATAATTTTATTAAATTACCATAACACTATTAATGATACAAATACGTCATATTCTTGTTTTAATAAAATTTTATTTGTTTCATTAATAGGCAGTTGATCACATATTTTCGAATTGCTATTTATTTAAAGAGGGCACGATAAAAATGCTCTCAAAACATGTAATAATTTGTATCTAATTTTTACATCTTTCATTATAATATATTTATATTTATTTATTCTAATTTTAATCGTGAATAGTGTTTTATGAATTAAAATTATTTTCAATTAAAATAATATTTATTATTTACATTCTTAAAATACTTACTCTTAAAATACTTATTAGTAGATTACGAGTATTTATGCAAAATACTTAACTGAGTATTAATCATCGGATGTGTTTTAGCATTCGATCGTTAAAGAGTTATTAAAAAGTAAAAAAGTTGAGACTACCATCTGTAACTATTCAATTTATGCAAAATATTCAGTTAAGTATTTTGCATAAATATTCGCAGTTTACTTATTAGTATTAAAATGTTAAATGGACAATCAATCTGACTTGAGATTAATTCAGCTTTAGTTTGCGATTTCAAATCCGACAAATCATATCGATACGCAGATTATAAAATTGAAATAATTTGTAAACTTTCGCATTTAGTATTAAGCACAAAAATCCGCTTTGATCTATTAAAATATAAATGCTGTTGATATAATATAATTCTTTTCAGTGCAGAATTTTTAGTGCTGAAAGTGAATACCGTAATCTTAATTTTAAATTTTTTCCCAATTATCAATAATCCTCTAAACCTTAATGTACATGTCCGTAGTAAATCTTTTACTATAAACATGCAAATGTATAATATAATAAACATTTTCGCCATTTATCGTGCAGGGGACAAAGTTAAACGAACAGATTATGTATCACAGATGATTCTCGTATGGATCGGCTATAATTTGAATAATAATACTTGAGACACAGATTACACCGATCACGTTAGGTAAAAAAAACAAGTTACATATGTCCAAACGATAAGTCGCATCAATCTGTCACCTGTTCGTTAACATTCTTTTTCGATTATGAGGGAGGATGGAACAGTTCCGCCGACGCGCGGAAAATAATATACGCCGATCAAAAACGCCTTTATCGTCGCGTTGGCATTTACAAAAATGTTTATCTAAATTTATCCGATAGATACGAATAATCGAGACATAATGTGTACATACGTACTTATATCACGACCGTAAAAGAAGCGATTAAAAGAACGATTTCAATGAGCGAGCGCTCTGCGTTTTGATCTAGATGGAATGGTCAATGTTCATCTCTCAATTAGTCATCTCTCATTAATAATCATTGTCATAAGAGACATTGTCGTTTCCGTTTATTAAAGAAAAATGCATCAGCCTCGTCTATGAATGGAATTAAAAGAAAAAAACTTATTTTCACATTGTCGCGTAGAACGTTTTAAAATTCTTCATCCTAATTTCGATAATTT